TTTTCTCGGGACAGCTCGTGCTTTATCCATCCGGCTGCTTTGTAGTTTTCGGTGGGTCCATTCAGTCTGTTCGCGCTCAGAGTGGCTGTGCACACGTAAGGTTCACAGTGGCATCTTACTGTCTTCGGGTTGTTTTGTACTTCACGGTTTCTTTTTCACTGGCTTTGCCTACCTTTGTAAATTTGTGATTTTCTCCTGTTTCCTTTTCTTTACCGCATCTACTGTCTTTACATCTTTACAGCATCTACTGTCAGGTCTTGCTTTGTGGTAACCGGAGGCTCACATACGGCATCTCCTGGAGAAAGCAGTGTGCTTTCAGCTGATGCTGCTGTGATTGGACACAAAAGCCTCACATGTTACTCTTCCCTGTAAATTACTTTGTCATCACCTCTTTTTATAGTATGTATTCAGTAACAAATTACAGTAACTGTAATTAGTTTTAATATGCCTTTCCTTTTGCCTTTTATGATAAATGGCTAACACAGCATCTTATTACAGAATTAGAGGGTTTTTTTTTTTTTAGGTCTGTGTATTTTCTTATATTTTTATGTCGTAAGTTGTGTCTTTTCACTTCACCTCAAAGAAATCCTTTCAGCACTTCTTGGAAGGCAGGTCTAGTGGGGACGAACGCTCTCTGCTTCTGTTCAGGAGGACCTTTATTTCTCTTTCGTATCTGAAGGGTGACTTTGCCAGACAGAATTCCAGGCCAGCAGGTTTTCTTTCAACACCTTGTGTCATCACACTCTCTCCTTTCTGGCCTATAGGGTTTCTGCTGAGATGTCCACTGAGCGCCTACGAACGGTTCCTTTCTGGGTGATAATCTTTTTTGTCCCCCTTAGCTGCTTTTAGAATTCTTTATGTTACATTTTTGACAGTTTCATTATAGTGTGTCTTTAAAATGTTCTTTTTGCAAGGAGGTATTAGGGTGATCTATTACCCTCATGAACTCGGATGTCCAGTGGGCTCCCTGGGTTGGGGAAGTTGTCCGCCATCATAACTTCAGATAAGTTTCCTGCCCCTTTCTCCCTTCTTCTAGAACCCCACTTCTAATATTTGTTCTTCTGACTGGATCCCAGAGTGCACGTGGGTTTTCTTCGGTCTTTTTCATTGTTTTGTTCTGCACTGACTGGGTTGAACATCCCAGGCCCGGATTCGTTCATTCTTCCGTTTGTGCTGCTGAAGATGAGCTCTATTGCCTTTTTCGTTTCATGGGTGGTTTTCAGTGCCACAATTTCTACTTGGTTCTTTTTTGGTGATTTTTATCTCCTTGGTAAGTATCTTATTTTGAACTTGTGTTTTTTTTTTTCATTGAATTGTTTTCCTGTAGCTCTTTGAGTTTCTTCAAAATAGCTACTTTTTAATTCTTTATTACCTAGGTCGCAAAATTCATGCTTTTAAGCTTGGTTACCAGGGAATTATCTTTTGATGGCAATGTTTCTTGGATTTTTTTCATGTTCCTTGTTATTTTTTGCACTGTTGTTCTTGCATTTAAAGAAGCAGACACCTCCTTCGGTCTTCGCCAGTCGCCTTCAGTATTCTAGCTGCGGCTCTTACTAACCGGCTCGCCTCTGCCTTTGGATGGGAGCCTCTTTCCGTGTTCTTGTTCCCGGTGGCATAATTCTTAAGCTTATGTCTTCTGTGGTTCTTAAAATTTGGTTGACTGGCTACTGGAAACCTCTCTCCTGTCTTCCCAAAGGTAGTGCCATGTTTGTGGTTTCTCCCTTGTCCCTGATCCTGGGTCTTTTCTGATCTCGGAGCCTGCTGTGACCGCTGTACCAGAAGCAAAGGAGCAGCCGTGGAGCCGGGGTTGTGTGGGTTCTGCTCCGGGGCACGGGTGGGTGTTCTGACCTGGTGTGGAGGCCGCAGGACGGGGGGGCTCCTGGAGGTTGCTGGTGGACCCATTCCTGAGCACGGTTGTCAGGAGCTCTGTCTGCTCGCCGGCCTCCAGTACCTGTCTCCGCGTCTGTCCTCCTCTCCTCCTCCTGCCAGCCACGGAGGTCCCACTTGGGGACCTCTTGGGCGGTCTCCTGGCCACCTTGCCGCAGAGGTCACTGCAGCCGCCATCAGGCCTGCCTGGTCTTCCCTTGCGCGTGCAAAACAGAGAACCAAACCGCTTTCAGGGTTCCCGGATTTCTGCGGGGTCTGTTTTCTGTGGGTATCTGCTCAGGCCAACACTCTCTGGGTGTTTTGGGGAATGTGGCGAGCAGGGATGGGGCTGGTTCTTGGCTGTACAGCCCACGGGAAGGTGTGTCCACCTGTTGCATAACACACAGGTGGACTGGCCTCTTCTGGGTCCTGGGCATGTGCTGCTTGACCCCATAGCAAGCAGACGGGCACTCTGGTTGCTGGATAAAGGTCGGGTTCAATGGGGACCATCTTACCCTCACAAGGTTGATGGCAGTCTAGTGTGCTCTTCTTGTCCTGAACGGAACTTCCCTCATGTTTTTCTTTTCCCCGTTCATTAACCAACCTCTCGAGTGGTGTTCTCTGACCATCTCGCACCAGCCCTTCAGCTTCCTTAACCACGGCGGATCCTGTTACTCTCCATGACCCTTAACCCTGTAGACCTCTTTAGCAGAGTTTTTTCCCTAACTCTTCCTGATTTAAAAGTCATATGCACTGGGGGCGCCTGGGTGGCTCAGCGGGTTAAAGCCTCTGCCTTCAGCTCAGGTCATGATCCCGGAGTCCTGGGATCGAGCCCCGCATTGGGCTCTCTGCTCGGCAGGGAGCCTGCTTCCCTTCCTGTCTCTCTGCCTGCCTCTCTGCCTGCTTGTGCTCTCTCTCTCCGTCAAAAAAAAAAAAAAAAAAAAAAAAAAAGTCATATGCACTGTAAAAGTAAAAATGAGAAAAAGGAGTCATCCCCAAACCAATACTGGGTCTTCTGGAATGCCTTTCTTGCTAGCTACCTCCTGCTCACCTTTCAGAGTTCAGCTTGTAGATCAGACTTGTTGGCCTTCCCTAGTTCTTCTCCTTTCTACACTCTGTGCTTTCTCTATACCTATCATCTTGTACTTTTTCCTCACTCATGTAAGTCTGGTTTGTAAGCAGATGTTGGACATAGCCGATACCCTCACTAGATCATCAACCGTACGGGGACAGGTAATGTCTGTCCTGCTCGTGACCATATCCCCGGCATCTGTCTTCTGAACTCCTGCGGTGTCCTTCCTGCACCTCCAGTGACACTCGGCCCTGTTCCTGGAAGACCGGGCCTGTTGTCATTGCAAGACTTACACGAAGCCACTCACAGCCCTCACAGGGCTGATGCTAGCAACGCGGTTCTCCACTCTGAGCAGCTCGGGGCCTCTGCTTTCCCTTCAGTGGGAGATGAAGACGTTGGACTGGATCCAAGTTTTCGCTCTGTCATAGCAGTCCGTAGGCCTCGGGATCCCTGGCCGGGGCTGCCCGATTGAAATGTCACGCTCTATGCCTCAGATTCTGAAACAGGAGCCTCCCCTCAGCTCAAACTCTGGCAGGAATGGATGGTTTCCTTGTCAGCTGCCAGGTGTGGGCCAGGCGCTCGCACATCCGTGGGCGTAGTCAGCCCTCGCCTCCGGAAGGGAGGGACGCAGCATCACCTGCTCAGACAAAGGTCTTCGAGACAGTTGCCAGCCACACGTGAAGGAAACATGCCGGTCCAGAAGGAGATGGCTGAAAGCCTAAAACTAGCAACTGGATTTTGAAGACTTACTGCAAATAAGCATGATAAATAGCTGATTAATTGATATATTAAATATTGAAATATTCTGGACACATTAGATTAAGAGGTATATGTTGAGTGTCACCGGCTCCTTCTCATACGGTGACTAGGAACTTTAAAATTACCTGCGTGCCTGCACTGAAGGGTCTCATCTGACAGCATTCTGTGCATTTAGCGCGGTTCACCCTCCAGCTCCCTGCCTTGCTGGCCAGCGGTATCCGCATCACTCGAAGATTGAGAAATGGCAGAGCACCAGCTCCTCCGCCCCCAGACGTCCCAGCTCAGACACTGCATTTTAGTTGGATTCCCAGGTGATCTGCATACACGAGTCTGAGAAGGTCTGATTTAAGTCACAGTCACAAGACCCCCATGGCCTGCCTGCCCAAGCCCCTGGATCAGGGATTTTAGTCCATACTCTGGAATGATTTTACACCTGAGGGACCTCGAGGGACCTGGACCCTTCTAGGGTGTGGGGAGCCTGTAGATGGGCCGGAGGAATCTGTAAAATACTAAAATTTAATGCAGCTTGTTTTGTGAACATAGGTGGCTTTTCGTGAAAGAACGGCCGTGTCGCCAACACCAGGGAAGTCCTGAGCAGGGCAGACGCTGGGGGTGAGCCCAGCAGCGTCCCAGCGAGCTCTCCTGCGATCCCGACGTTCAAAGTCGAGAACCACGTGCCGAGGCATGGATGAGGGCTAAGCCACGCACTGCCTGACGGTCTGGAGGGTGACGCCGGCCTTCGCAGGTATCGGTGTCATGGGATGGATTTGATACAAGACGTGGTCCGTGTTCAGCCTAGCATCAGGGGTAAGAAAATGGGTTTTGAAGTCAGACCTAAATTTTTCAAGAAACAACGAAAGTACTTTCAGTGTTTCTCAGGACTGATGAAAGCTTAAATGTTTAAGTGAACGATGAATACCTGCCTCCACAGAGAGCCGGTCGCCCACGGGTAAGCTACAGCGCGGGTCGCCACGGGACCCGGCTGTGTTTGCTGGTTTCACCCGTTCCCCTCTAGCAAACCAATTTATTAAAGTCAGTTTTTTTAAATACATTTATTAACCAATGTTAACACATTAAATGAATCTATATATTGCTAGTCAGAGCAGCTTACAAAATGCCAGAATGCATCGTAGAACTGGACAGCCACAATGAGTAATTACAATGTGCGTAGTGGCTAAGCTCAACACCTTGATATAGCTTTATGATTCGCAGAAAATTTTTATAATGATTCCTAAAACAATCAGTTGTAATTTTACCTAAAACTTTTACAAAACCAGGCCACAATCTCTTTTTTTTAATTTTGTTTTTTTTTTTTTTTTTAACACACAGTTTTCACACTGTAGTAACTTGGAAATGTGCAACCGTGTCAACGGAGACAAAAAAAGCCAAAGGAACACGAATCTTACTTTCATGCAGCTATCAGTTAAATAGTACATACTCTGGAATGATTTTACACCAAAAATATTTCCACAATAACTTGCTCTCATAGGGGTGGATCGAAGTTTTAAAACTTGAAAAACAATCAGAGAAGGTAAGCGTTCTTGGTTACAAGGTGTCCGTCAGACCACGGCCCCCGGCGACGCTGACGGCCGCACGGCGATGGGGGGACGAGATGCCGCTGGACGGCAGCTTGTCGGCTGACTCGCGTCAGCACCCGGACAGCGTCAGGCCGGACGGAGGGTTATGTCACAGAAGATTCGCTCCTTTTCCATCTTTAGAGTGACCCTGACAAACCTGGAGAAAACTTTTTAAAAGGTTTTCCTCCTGATTCTTTCACTTGCGTGGTGTGTAATTGCTTTAATAAATATCAAAGGACTAAATAAATATTTACAAATTATTTCTCTAACCTTTAAAAATAACTAAATGATAAATGGGAGTTTGACTTGGTCTAAGATCAGTCGTGGAAAAAAACAAACGGTGAGATTTTTCTTTTTAAAAAAAGCAATTTAAGTTTTCCTGGCTGAATTTTATATATCTATGTATAAAAAAATCCTTATTCAACTATCGATCCATTCCTATTGGTAATGCTTCTTAATCCAGACATTCCGCAAAATACAGACTTTTTACAAATCACGGCATCTTTAATACAAGAAAATTAACATGCATTATTCTTCATTCTGTGTACAGTGATGGAGTTCATTAGTGGGCAGTGACCCATTACTACAAACATAACGGCCTCTGTGAAACGTAAGTGCTTTCTTTCCCTTCAGTATTAATTTACAAAGTACGCGGTGGCACCAGATAACAGGCAATCAGATGATACCTGGGGAGGGAAGGGAAGCATTAAAGAAATTTGTATGCCTCATCTGTAATTCCATGGGTGGAGAAAGGTAGTTTTTGGCTTTTTATTTTTTGTTTATCTTGTTACAAGCACTCATGTTAGGACAAAGATGAAATGTGCAAACTTTAAAATTTAAATATTCATTTTCTCTAAGATCCAGCTCAGTAAAAGATTACCCCAGTTCCCTGCAATTTTAAACTACAAGATCAAAGCTAATAATTTGTTATAAAAGTTATATATTGAAAAGAAATAATGAAAAACACAATTGGGAAATATTTAAGAAAAAATACGCAGGACTAGCACCTGCCATGTCAACCCTGTTCCCTAAATTCCATCGTATACCCACTGGCATAACCAACAGATAATGCCTTTAAACAGTAAATTAAGCTGAACAAAACCAGCTCAACAAGGTTAAGAAATAAATTTCACATCAAGGTAGTATGTTTTATTTCTGAAACAGTTCTGTAGTTCTTACATTCAGATCTATTTTAAATGTGTCTCTGTTAAACTCACTTGTATTCACCTGTTGTTTTTTAAAGATCTGTTGTTTAAAGGTTAAAATCTCTGTAAAACCTAAAAATGTTTTAAAATTTGCTGAAAATGCAACAAATTCTCAATTAAAATTTATTTAAAATAATACCCTCCACTGATGTTACTTTGACCCCCTGAAAAACTCCGGAGGAGCATTAACAAAAGATTTAAACTACTGTGCAAAATTTCTTCACGAAAAGTGTTTAAAGGCTGGTGCAAAATGGGAAGCAAATTCTAAACAATTTTGGCTTCTTGGAAACAAAAACCGCTGTGTCTGCGGAGACGCGCTGGCCCGAGACGCCCGCCTTCATCTCTTCCGACGGCAGGTGCGTTTGTGCTCCGCGTGCCAGTGCTCCTGCTGGCACTTGATGGAGCAGTAGGACGTGTTCCAGCAGCAGTGGTACATGGCCTCCTCCTCACAGTTGTAGCACTGCAGGGAGAAAGCAGGGCCCTGGTTAGACCGGCAGGCCTCGGAGGCGCTGCTCGCACACACCGGCGGGGCTCGACCTCCAAGCACGGCCCACGAGGAGACCCGTGTGTGGTGCGCAGGGGGCCGGACAGCAGGCGACGCGGAGGCCACGGCGTTGGGTCCGTCCCCGGCTAGCGTGGGCCTCCCTGGCACACGAACTCCTCACCTCTAGTGCTCGCGGCCAGCAGCATACAGATCTCGAGAGGGTTCTGGAAGGACGGCAGGGCGGGAAGCACCAGGCATCTCGCCCCGCGTGGGCAACTGCATCACTAGAGTCTGTCTCCAGGAACTATTTTGGAGAACTAGAGTCTACGGCAGGCTTCCAAGCTCCCGGGGAAGTTGAGGACAGTAAATTCTGGTGAATTTTGGCCCATCTGGGCTCTTAGCACAGTAGCAAGTGCCTCCCGCCGCCAGCTGCACGTAAGCGGCGGCTCAGGAAAGACCTGACAAGGCCTCAGTTTACGCCTCAGACTGAGTCTCGGCACAAAGAGCCTACGACAAAAATGGGCAAACCCGAAAAGGGGGAGAAAACGAGTGCTAGAGTTACCTCACAATTAGACTCAAACGTCCAGTGTTCAGCCTCACAAAAAAATGAAATAGTAATATTCAAAGAAAAATAAAACTGTCCCTGAAAAGGGCCCAATAGCAGAGGTTATTAAAGACCTTTAATAGCGTTTTTTGTTTTTTTTTTAATTGTCAGAGTGAGAGAGAGCGCACAGGCAGACAGAGAGGCAGGCAGAGGCAGAGGGAGAAGCAGGCTCCCCGCCGAGCAAGGAGCCCGATGTGGGACTTGATCCCAGGACGCTGGGATCATGACATGAGCCGAAGGCAGCCGCTTAACCAACTGAGCCACCCAGGCGTCCCTTTAATAGCGGTTTTAAAGATGCTCAAAGAACTAGAGAGAGATGTGGAGAAAGTTAATGACGTGTGAACACAGTGGAAATTCCATTAAAAAGAAACCAGAAAGAAAATCTGGACCTGGGAAGTCCATCGGCTGAAACACTGGTTCTCTGCAGGCAAATCTGAGCAGCAGACAGGACGGGAGAAAGGTGAGCAGAACCTGAGGGACTGCGGGACGCTGTCCACCGTGCCCGGATACATGATCTGGGACTGTCACAGAAGGACAGAGGACAGGGTAGAGATCATGCGAGGAGATGACGGCTGTAAACCTGTCAATCTGAGAGGACATGTGAACACAAACACCGAAGACGCTCAAGGAACTCCACGTCAGAGTCAATGAGACACACATCTAGACACGTTATCTCCCAACTTCCGAAAGCCCAGGTTAACAGAAATCCTGGAAGCCTACAAGGGAAACAGTCCTGCACAGAAGATCATCCGTGTCACCACCAGCCTTGTCATCAGAGCCTCCGGAAGCAGAAGGCAGGTACCGTCGACGCAGAATCTGAGATTCAGCAGAACGGTCCTTCTAAACGTGATGGACATTCTGAAATTCCCAGATACCCCAAAGCTGAGGGACCCTGTGACTTGTCCTATAGGAAACGCTCGGGGGAGCCGTGCACGGAGAAGCCCTTGAACACCAGCCAGCACCTCCGAGTTGTGAAGAGAAACACTAAAGATTCCGGCAGAGACGAAACCGAGAGAGAGAACCTGGGAAATGCAATGTTGGCTTTTTGTCAATGTTATTATCTTTTCAATCTTTTTGCTAAATGGACTGAGAGGACTCAGATTACTAACATCAGAAATGAAAGTGGGGACCTTATGATTGATTCTACAGAAATACAAAGGAGTTTAAGAAAGTACTATTAACTATTCCACATTCGAAAACTGAAGAAACTAGATAATGGACAAATTCCCAGAAGAATAAAACGTACCAAGACTAACTCAAAGAAATTTAAGCACATTGAATGACTAATAAAAATCTCAATAAAAAGAGCCCTAGATTTGCTACTCTAGTAAATTCCAGCATATAGTTAAACAAGGACTAACAGCAACCCTTCCCAAACTCTCCCCAAACGCTGTGGTATAGGAAACGCCTCCTACCTCATCCTGTGAGTCCAGCATAACCTGACAAAATGCAACACACCCTTCGTGATGAAAACCACTCAACGAAATAGGAACAGAAGAAGAACCCGGAGCAAACATCACACTCAGTGAAAACCTGTAAGTTTTTCCTTTAAAATCAGGAACGAGGCAAGAACCCACTTTTGCCACTTGTATTGAGCAGAGAATAAAATACGTAGGAACGAACTTGGCCACGGAGGGGGAAAGCCTGCACTACGACCACCACCAGACACTGCTAAAGGAACTCCAGACACAGACAAACGGAAACCCGCCCCGCGTTCGGGGGCCGGAGGACGTCCTATTGCTACAACGTCAACGGGACCGACGCCATCCACGCGTCCAGTGCCCTCCCTATCAGAAGCGCTACGACACCGCTTTCAGATGCAGAAAACCCATCCCGAAAGTCGTGTGGACTCTCCACGGACCCAAAGAGCCAAAATGACCCCGAAGAAGAACCGGGAGGACTCACACTTCCTCCTTCCAAACGACCGCACAAAACTGCAGTAACCAAACCGCGTGCTGTTGGCACAGAGACAGACAGACGAGGGGAGGGGAACAGACAGCCCAGAAAGAAACCCTCACGAGACAGCGGAAGGACTGCTCACAACGATGCCAAGACCCCTCGACGGGGAACCCACAGCGCCTTCACCAGACTGAGCTGGGAAAACTGCACGTCCACAGGCGGGGGGGTGGGGGGGACAGCCGGACCCCGACCCAAGAGCACACACACCGAGTAATTCAAAATGGATCAAAGACCTCGACGTAAGGCCCAAAATGATAAAACGCTGGAAGAGACGTAGGCCAGAAGCTTCGTGACACTGGATTCGGCAATGGTTTCTTGGATGTGACCGAAGGCACAGGCCACCAAAGAAAAAAAACAAAGATTTTCTGCAATCTTACTGTAATTTCAGTAAAGTCAGAAACAGCTGAAATGAGTCTCAAGTTTGAATCTTGGGTGTGTGCTAATGACTCCTGTGGGTTTGGGCCAAGTTTTTAAACTTCTACCTTATTCCTCATCTGTAGCTACTATTTGCAGCAGCACCCTCCTCTCTGTCGAGGACCCTGACAGGCTCTCACGCGGACCCGTCTCGAGGGTAACCATCCCACTGTTTCTCAGCTGTAGCTCATCTTAACATCCGTTTTCCGGCATCTGTCAACCTGTGAACTTTTTGTCCTAAGATGTGATTATAACAATAGTTTATGCTGGAAATGACAGGACGGACAGAATGTTCTTAGGGACTCTGTGTCATCTCATAAGCGTCAAATCCCTCCTCAGAAACAACGGGGAAATCGAAAGCAGTTTGCTACCGGCATAAAGACAGACGCACAGAGGAAGGGACAGAGCAGAGCCCAGAAGTAAACCCACACCGACACGGTCAGCTAACTTACAACAGAGGGGCCAACAACACAGTGTGGAAAAGCCAGGCTCTTCAGTAAGAGGCAGTGGGAAAACCGGACAGCCTCATGCGACAGAATGAAACCAGACCACTTTTGTAGCCCAAACACCAGTTAACTCAAAATGGACTAAATGAACTCAAATGGAATGCAAGACCTGAGAGCTTAAACTTCTAGAAGAAAATAGGCAGTAAATTCCTTGACATCGGTCTTGGCAATGATTTTCTGGATTTGACACCAAAAGCAAAAGCAACAAAAGCAAAAAAATATAAATGGGAAGACATCACACTAATAGCTTCTGCACAGGAAAGGCAATAATAAAATGGAAAGGGGGCCCACATAATGGGACAAAATATCTGCCAATCTTGCATCTGATGTATGTGGTTCACGTCCCAAATAAAGGATTCCTACAACTCAATAGAAAAAACCTGATTTTACAAGTGTGCAAAGGGCCCGCACGGATCTGTCCCCAGAGCCGACCGCCAGAATCACGAAGGACGCTCAGCATCACCGACCAGCGCGGCGGGGATCGCGCACACCTGTCGGGACGGCTAAAACCCGCGGCACAGGAAATGAGGGATGCGGCGAGGATGCGGACAGAGGGCAGCCCCCGTGCACCGCTGCTGGGAAGGCGAGCTGGGGCAGCCGCTCTGGACGACAGTGTGGAGGGTCCTCAGAAAGCTGAAAATGGAGCCGCCCTGTAATCCAGCGATCCCACTGCTGGTGTCTGCCCAGAGGAAGCGGAATCCGGACACGGAATCGATACCGGCGGCCCCGCGTTCGCTGCGGCGTGTTCCCCAGAGCACACGGCCAAGCGTCTGTGAGCGGTGGGCGGACGGGGAAGATGCGGAGCGGACACTCGCAGGGGGAGACAGAAACCCCGCTGTGGCCACGCGGAGGGTGGTGAGCGCGGTGAGCACCAGGAAGGAAGCAGCCAGCGCGGCTCGGGCGGCCTCACGCTGGGAAAGGCTACCCCCGCAGCAGCTCCTGCCCCGTCACAGCCTCATCTGCCTGTTTCCTTGATTCTTCAATAAACCTACAGGGGTTTCTTCCTGTAAGTCTAGCGCCCACTCTCTGGATTTCTCTGGTTGTTGCATGAGGACAGAAATACAGATGCGGCGCTGGGGCTGTGTGCCGGAGACGATCTCGAGCACACGGTTTCCGTACTCATCTGCTTTTCCTACAAGTTCTGAACTTCCCTATCTTCATCACAGTGTTTACAACGCTCACTCTCTTGAGCGAACTTTCACTGGAGAAGGAGGGACCCACTTCAGAAACCGTCGTCGCGATCCCGTGAGCAATCACAAGACGTCTTACCGTACTTCATCAACACCAAGGAACCAAATTATGAGTTTTGGGGAACAAAACGTTTTCCCCAGCAGTTAGCTGAGATGGGGGGACAGGTGTGCTCAGAGCTCCCAGTCTAGGGGAAGAGTCACAAACACAACACCAAGAAAAAGGAACCATGTGTCAGATTCTAAGAGGAGTTGGACCCAGTGACTGTCCCCTACAGAAATCAAGTCAAGGGACAAGAACTTGGTGTGTAAATGTCATGCAGCAAAACCAAACTTGTGCTGTCGTGATGGAGGCACTAAGTGTGTCAGGACTGGGCCATCACTGGCAGGAGTCAGCGGGCAGACGTCAGGGCACGGGTCGTGCAGGGACAGCCAGGTCCCACCCGGACGTCAGGGCACCGGCTGTGCAGGGACGGCGAAGTCCCACCTCGCAGACACGTGAGCACGTCCTGAAGGCTGCTGTCCACAGCCGCGCCATCCTGTCAACACTCATAAGGTGGACGCGCACACAGAGGAGACGACTCCCAATAAAAACGTAAACCTTCCTCACAGCCGACGGTCTGACCTTCCATCTCATGCCAGGATGAACCCCCCGACCACACGAGGTCTGTCTGAGCGAGTTTTCCCCACAGCGTTCCCGCGTCCGCACGCGGGGCACGTTCACAACGCGGACCGCGAGGCCATGCGGCTGCTTACCCACTGCTTCTTCTTGGTCTGCGAAATGAGCTGTTTGTGCTGCGTCGCCAGCTTCTTGATCTCCTCCACAAACTCCTCCTTACACTTTTCCTTCACCTGCTTACATTTCCTGTCCATCTCGCCCTGCATATTGGCCACCGCTTTATTGACCGCCTGTCGCTTCTCTTCCTCCATTTCGGAGCGCAGCTGCAACGAGAGCGGCAGCCCGTGACCGGCCCGCCCGCCAAGAGCCCGCGCCCAGGGTCTGCTGAGCCGGTGGTCCTCCCCGCTCTGCTCCCAGGAGCCCGGGGGCGCGCAGGGTTCCAGGACCGCGTCCCCACGCTCCCGCTGGGAGGGGCCGCCCCCGGGAGAGGGCTCCCGTCGCGCGCAGCCCACGGAGGCCGCTTTACCTTCTCCAGAGCTTCCCGCACGACCCTCTCGGTCTCCCGCTTGTGGTCGGACTTCATGCGGTCCTTGAAGTCGTTGAAGATCTTGGTGTACTTGTCGTGGCACACGCTCTGGCACAGCCCGTCGCCGCTGGTCTGCGTGCTTCGGTGCAGCATACGTGGGGAGGAGGCACTTAACTTCTTGGTCTGAGTGGACACAGACACCTTTTCGATCGGCTGAGGCATCGTGGGGATCTCCTGGCTGGAACTCACGGCTTCCGTCTCCGGCTCTGGCTCCTGCAGGACAAGGACAGTGCACGTGGGACAGACCGCCGCCCGCCCGCTGGTCCAAGAGCAAGCCCGGTCAGACTAGCACAGCGGGGAGGGACCATCACAGCCTTGTCATCAGGATGGTAAACTCTGTACTTTACCACGGCTAACCCAACGAAAAGCCCCAGAACTTCTAAGCAATTAATAGCCAAGATAATTCCAAACAGAAACTGTAGAACTTGGTGGCAAACTCACACTATGGTCTTTTCTTCTCAGACTAAATAAAAACATCCTATAAGATATAAAGCCATTAACAGCTCAGAGTCACTGCTACGGACTAGGTTCATTAACAGACACCCCAGAGCTCCGAACCACAGACACGTCATTCTCAGAGTCCGAGCCTGGACTCCCCCAGGTTTTGAACGCTGACGTGACGGAGGGCTGGGGCTGGACCAGAGGCACCCTGCGCTGCGCACGAGCTCTTCCCGGGCCGCGGGCGGGCAGACGACAGGCTCCCTGACAGGTGTTCGTGAGTGCCACTGGGGCACACTGTCGTGACCGAGGCGTGGGACACGGTTCTGGGGCCGTACTGCCAGACGCGGCGATGCAGCCACTTACTTCCTTCTTGGGTTCCACGCTTTGATTGCGTCGTCCCTTCTTTGCTCTCGGTTCTTGTGTGACCTTCAGCTGTGGACACGAAAGAGGGGCAGCCTGTTGCTCCAGACGGTACGACTCCCTGGTCACGGGCCCCCAGCTGAGACGCGAGTCACCCGCTCCCGTGTGCACTCTGCTCCCTCCAACCGCGGGGCCCCCACACCCAGAGCTCCCTGGTGGGGGTGGGAGTGCTGGGCTCCCGCACTGGCCGGGTCGCTGGCTGTGTCGGGCCCGGGGCTGCGGGCGGCCCGGTAGGGCCGGCACCTGGGGGTGTCTGTGTGGCAGGCAGGAGTGCCACGAGGAGAGCAACGCGAACGTGCGCTCGTCCCCCGCGACCGACAGGCCACCGCTCGCGGGGACCCTCACCTGCTCGTTACTGGTGGACGAGATGCTGGACTCCGCCTCCTCCTCCCCCCGGTCCTCGTTCTTGGACTTCCAGAACCTTCCCTCGCGGAGGAAGCGCTGGTGCAGCTCCAGCTCGTCGCAGGCCCTCTTCCAGCCCATGCTGCGCTTCACGTGCAGCCGGTGGACGTTCACGGTGATGTCCTGGATGTTCTCTGACGGGATCCAGGCCCTGCGAGGAGCACCAGAGCGCAGTGAGAAACTCCCAGAAAGCCCCTACATTCCACCCGTGCAAAGCAGGCCCCGGGGCGGGTGGGTGAGACCCGCTGTCCCAGCAGACGCCGCGCGCCCGGCACCGCCTCAGCCAGGCTGGCGGCCGCGGCTCCCGCCCTGCGCGGAAGGCGCCACCCCGGCTCGGGCAGACGAGAGCCGCAGGCCGTGAGCCCGCATTCACTGCACACACGCCGTGAGGGCGTCCGAGCCCGGCTCCCTGCCACGCGGCGCTTCCGCACATCCACACTCACCTCCAGATCATCACTACCGCTGCAGTGCTCAGCCAAGGACTCACACACGACAATAAGCGTCTCTGAGTGACGTTAATACTGATCCACAGTTACCGGACACAAAACCACATGCAGCTCTGGGAAGAGGCCAGAACTCGGGAACAGCTTCCCGGGCACTCGCTCTGCGACTGCACTTCCCCGTGTGCCCACGGAGGCCCCACACACGCCGCAGGACGTGTGCTTCCTGAGCGCGCGATCCTGCCACGTCTGGGGACAGAGCTGCTGTGCAGACGGGCGACGAAAGCCATTACCACGGGGCAGGACCGGGCGGCCCCGGCACACGCGGAGCCTCTGACCGGAAGGGACCGTGTCCCAGCAGAGGGGATGGCACACGTGAGAGAGCGGCAAGGTGCACGAGAGCCTCTGGAGCCTCCAGTCCAAGTGTGCAAGTGGCACCTCGGACACACAGACCTGCGTTTCGCGTCTTCTGCGTCACTGCACGCGGGCAGCTGCCACTGCTGGCCGGTGGCAACGGGGGGCCCCGGCCCGAGGACTGAAGAGACCGAGGGAGTCACGGCACATGGGCCTCAGCCACAAGTGCAGACTTCCGCCTTGCAGCACAAGCCCCGTGCTCTGCAGTGTCAACACGTGGTCCTCAAGTCCCAGGCTGGCGGCTGGACCCGTGGGACTAGAGTGGCCATGGCTACGTCTCTAAGTGCCCCGCCCACGGCGTCCCACCTGACGGATGCACTCCATTAGCACCCACCAAAGCGGACAGCAGCTACGACCCCCGGCTCTCCTACGAGAAGCAGAGGAGATCGGGCTTGTGGGAGAGCAGCTGTCCTTACTCTTGAGGTCAGCAGCGCTGGCGGGGCGTGCGGTACGCATGGGCAGTAACACACGGTCACCTCCTACAAGCCGTGCTTCTGAGACAGATCTCTGCGGCTGGCCGTGGTGATGGCCTGGGTGAATCTGTGACCTATCAGGGTAGTTCTCAACTACAAACACATCTGTTTATCCCTCGGACATAATAAAATGGATTCACATCTGCTCTTAACACGAGACGTAACTGTCTCCGTGCAGTTCAGACGGGCATTCCTGTTCTCTGGGAACCCCTCCGTGACTGAGAACAGCACGTTCCACTACTGAAGAGGACCATGGGTTATGCGATGGGAGTTACAAAAAACGCCCTGCGACGTACAGTGATTCTAACACAAGAGAATCTGAATTGGCGGGATCTGTGCATCTGTCGATCCTCAACGCTCTGAACAACTCACTCCCCGATGGCTCGGTGGTCTGTTGGCAAATGAGCTCGAAATCACGTGCTTCCCCTGCCCGTGTCTCCCCACGGGCTCCGGCACCCGCAGCGGAGAGGCAGCCTTGCTGGCATACCCAGACCTCGCCTGCTCCTTCTCCCTCAGGAAGGCAACCTTGCAAATCCCAGAGCCTTCCCTCCCAGAGGAAGACCACTAGTTCGGGGTCTGGGGAGGGGCCGTGCGTCCTGTACTGAGGACACAGAAGGGACGAGTCCAAGACCATTTATCTGTGTAAGATTTTCTCTCCCACCAGAATGGACAGGACGAGCTGTCAAAAGTGTTTATTGGCAGTGACGCTGGTGAGAGTGTGAACGTATTCAGGACCACTGAGATGGTCACTTAAAGTGCTCACTGTCAGAATGACACAAATGAGAACCTGCGATCGAGGCCTTTACCAGCCGCCTCCTCTGCATGTGTAAACACACTGCTTCACGAGAACTGGTGATCAGTACCGCATCAGGTTCATTTTTTGATGAATCGAGTATTCTAATAAGATACAGTGTAACTTTTAAGGTACGTCCTCATCATTTAAGGGTCGTGTTGGGCACCCTGTAATGAGCAGAAAAGGAAAAGGTTCTGGATTTCCTGTGAGGTTGTGGGTCTTCAAGGGCTGAGCCGTGGATAGACACGTAACCCACAGAGTATGTTGTCAGATTGGCTGTTCTCAGCCAAGTGTCCGGGTGAGTCAGAAGTGAGATATGAATTTCTGACCATGGGGGGGTTGGCACCCCCAACGTCACTCTTGTTTGATGGCTAACTGTATTTTCCACGATCAAGTCCTCAGAGCCCCATCTGTCCAAAATGGTTTCGATTAAATCTTCCAGGAAATAACAAATTCAGAAGAAAAAAAGTCTGGCAATGTAATGTTACGTTGTAATTCTCTCTTCAGAACCCAAACAGATTAGCTCACATATTCTTTTAAAATATGATCTGCATAACATACTAAATGACAGAAAAATACCATTCATGGTTGAAGATTGCGTAAGGCTGTGTGAACGTGGATGAAAAACTGTAAAAGACGCGCTAACCAGTTCGAGCATTTTACCAAACACCCGAACTCTTGGTTTTTCTACGTTAACAGTATCTGACGTCACAGGGATTGCTGTGGTAACGCAGACCTTTAGGACATCCCTGCTGCACACGACCCACCAAGCTTGGGTGACTGTGTACGAAGGTTTCACTGACCCTTTTGAGACACGTCTTACTGCAGCCCGTGCTGCGGTGACCAGACAACGGGTCCACGCTGGGAGGCCAGGAGCTGAGCCGGACACGGTCCTCCGTGTCCCTCTTCGTGTGCGCTGCCTGTTCTGACGGCAGACGGGACACGCCGGGAGGGAGGCAAGAGAACAATGAAACCAGCACAGCTCACACACCTCCTCTGCGTCACGTGGGTCTCCTGCCCCGAGCGTCTGCGAAGCGCACGTCTGTCTGTGAAGGGATAGACTGCGCTTTTGGAAATTCACTGCAGCTTCTTGCCACGAAACTGTCTTTTTTTGGCTTGTTCATTTATTTCTTTTTAATTTTTTAAATTCTTTATTTAAATTCCAGTAAAAACTCTTGCCACTGAACCTCTATTTAAATTAAATGAAAACGACGGAGAGGAACGCTGTCCCTTGCCATGTGGCTTCCCACAGTGGTGACAACAGCGCAAACCCTGCGGGTCAGGCCCACAGACGGCCCTGTAGGCTCGCAAAGGCCTTCAGACCATGTCATGGATGTGGCGCCTTCCCTGCAGCTGCGTGCGGAGAACCCCGGTCAGTACCCAGCCGGCCCCGCTAGTGCCAGAGTCACTCGGAACGACACTTCAGTCCTCGGCACATGTTTAGGCCTTAACATCACAGTGAAGGAAGCAGCTGTGATCTCACAGTGGAGTTCACAGTCTTTGTATGAAATAACGTGCAAAATGAAGTTTACAGTAACAAAGACAGCGTCACTGTGGGGACACGTTCTCGCGTGACAACACGCCAACACTTAGGCTTTGGTACACACGTCTCCCTTGCAACAGGAGCCTGAACGTCTAGGTTGGAAACAAGGTCTGGGAGTGACACGTGTGTAATTCGAACACAGCTTCCTGGGTCACAGCGTCCTCACGGCCCCCGGCTCCCAAGCCAACACCTTCTGTGTGTGGCTCTGAATGGAGCCTGGGGAAGAGGACGGGGCCACGTCCTGTCGTCCCAAACCAGGGAGCGGCTGTGCTCTAGGCGTCCTCCCAACCCCCTGCCTCACCCTGTCCCACCACGTCAGGCACGAGCCACTACCATTTCACTCCACAAGCCCAAAAGAAACCAAGACGAAAAAAACCCAAACCAACCAACCCAGAAGGTAAAAACGACAAAGCCATAGTGATTTCCTGTTCTGGGTAGCAGGTTTCCTGGTTTTATTAACTTTTTCCCCCTGTACTTACGTATCCTATTGAATTTTCAAGAAAAAAGGAAAGACAGCCAAAATAAATCAATGCGTAACAAAAGGAAAAAAACAATGGATAACGATGGGAAAAAAAAAAAAGAAAGAAAAAAGTGACGTGTGATTTGTTTCTCCAAATCGGAGTAAGTTCCTGCCTGTTTCTGACAGAGGGACCCTCCGAACGCCTCGGCCCACCTGGTGGGCGCCGGGCGCCGGGCAGTCAGTGATGGACAGGCCATGCTCACCGTTGGTGATGGTGACCGAAGAAGCGGACGTCCACCTGGTTGTCCTCCTTCTGCAGGACTTTGGCGGGCCAGAACCCAAAGCCTTTCATCTTGGCCCAAACGAGTTCATGGTTAGGTATCTGGAAATAACATGTTTTACCATGTCACATTACTTTTAAAGTATTAAATGGAAGCACATCATTAATAATGAACAATCTAGTAAGTACAGTTCATTATCTTGAAAATGTTTTAACTCCTAAAAACATAGAAGTTTTTCTCAGATTGGTTCTGCCTTCAAGAAAAATACCAAAAAATTGCAACCTGCATAAAACAGCGGTACGGAGACTCAGCTCTCCGGACAGACAGGCTTCAGCATGCAGGGGTGAGGCGGTCCCCGCAGCCAGCCAACGCATGTGCGGGATGTGGCAAATGCCCTGTCTTCACCACCGGGAGCGGCACACCAACACCTGGAGCCAGTCAGGAAGGGGAGTGGGAGGCCCGGTCTAGGCTCACCAGCTCAGAGAGATGCCATGGGCCTGGGGGGCACAGTGAGGTCAAGAAGCAGCCGCGGGCGCCCAGGGCCCCGGTGCTGCCCCTCCAGTCCCGGAGACAGAGCACCCTTCCTGAAAGCACATCATCCCAGGGGACAGCACACAGCCACAAGCACACACAAAACCTTACACTTCTTGTGAAAGAATGAGGGGAAAGGCAGAAATTCACTCTGTGATATATTAAGGGACCCAGAGTTTGTTCTTAAGTTCCTCATTTCAAAGTCAGAGATGGATAATGATGCCAAGTTGTTCACCCTGTGTTCCAGGTTTCATAATCATCAAAACCATATATACTATATACAAAGAAAAATACCTAGGAAGGACTGTAATCTTTGAGCAAACTGGAAATAACTTCCTTAGAATAATACATCACACACTTAAGAGGTAAAAAACAGAAAATCACAAAATTTCACATACACAAGGATAGCAGAACCAATTGTCAGGACGAGCATTTGAGAGATAGAAGCAGTTCTTGCAAAGCTGTAGTTCGTCCAGCTAGAAAAGAAAAGCAACTATTTTAGCCCACATAAAACATGAACACCCAACTGTGTAAAACGCCCGTGTAAATTAACAAACATTCTCTTACGTGCATCGTCAGGCTTGAAGATTCTTTCTAAGTTTAACCATTTCATTTTTCAGTAAACACTGGGAGAGCGGCCACTCTCCCGTGCACACCACCTGCATGTCTGACCTCCACTCTCAGCCCGGGGCCTGCATCCCACTGGTCAGCACTCACAAGACATGCTGTGTCCTCACACAGGCCTCGCTGGCCGGATTCCCTTCAATACCCAGGATCAGCAACAGCAGTACATGCGCCGCCTCGTTCCTCACCCTCTGCGTCAGTCCCTGTTGGACTTCCTAACACTCTTTCACGACTTGTAAAGAAATATATTTTGTCTGTTTCTTTTTTGAGTTTTTCTTCAGAGTACAGCCCCATGAGCAGAAAGCAGTACCTCGTCCACCACTTTATCCCTAAAATACCGCACAGCACAGAGCCGACACTCAATAAATATTTGCTGAATAAGAGAAAAAACAAAGGCCAAACTTGAAATCAAGAAAAAAGAGTTTTTATATAAATTAAGACAATTCTGCAAGATTTAGTGTGGTTTCACATGAGTGTATCCAATCAAAAGGACGTTCCCTAATATATATTTCATTTATTGACTGAATAAACCGTGTGCAACACTTTACTGCATAAACTCTGTTGTTGGGTGTTTTGTCTGTGAAATCTATCTCGGAACTCAAACATGTATCTTTCATTCAAAGAGGCAACATTTCATTCAAAGAGGCACAGTGAAGGCGACAGTCAACAAAACGAAAAGGCAATCTAATGAATGGGAGAAGATATCTGCAAATGATATATCCAATAAGGGGTGAATATCCAAAATATGTGAAGAACTACCACACCTAAAAACAAACAAACAAACAAAAATTCAATTAAAAATGAATAGGAACTAAACAGACGTTTTTCCAAAGATGACATACAGATGGCCAACAGACACGTGAGGAGACGCCACGTCACTGGTCATCGGGAAAATACAGATCAGAACTACACTGAGCTGTCGCTCACACCCGCCCGATGGTTCGAACCGACAACGAAGGAAACAGGATGCAGACACAGGGGAACCTCGGGCACCGCTGGTGGGAGCAGGCTGGGCGGCCACTGCGGAGAACAGTACAGAGGGTCCTTAAAAAGCTAAAAACAGAGCTGGCCTGGGACCCAGGAGTCCCGCTACTGGGTGTCTGTCAAGGAAACCAACCGCTAAGCCGCAGGGATACGTGCTCCCCGACACCATTGCGGCGTCATCTGCAACAATCGCGACACAGAGGCCGCCCCAGTGTCCGGGAACTGACGACTGGACAGACGGGGGCGGGGCCTATCCTCTCAAACTACTCCACACAACAGAAAATGAGGGAAAACTCCCAAACTTACTCTATGAGACCCTGACACGAAAACCAGATAGACTCCACTGAAAAAGAATTATAGGCCAATATCGCTAATGAACACAGACGCGGAAATTCCAGTAAAGTATTAGCAAATCAAATCCAACAATACATCATTCAACACAATCAAATGGGATTTATTCCTGGCTGCAAGCATGGTTCAGTATTCACAAATCAATCAACATGATTTACCACATTAACGAAAGAAAGGATAAAAACCACATGATCATTTCCGTAGAGGCAGACAAAGCGCAACATCCAATCACGATAAAAACCCCCCAATAAAGTAGGTACGAGGGAAAATACCTCGGTAGATTAATAAAGGCCATCTACGAAAAACCCACAGCGTCTTCAATGGGGAAGAAGCGAGAGCCTTTCCTGTACGGTCAGCAACACAAGAAGGATGTCTGCTCTCACCACTGTTACATATGACAGCACTGGAAGTCCTGGCCTCAGCAGTCAGACAACAGAGAGAACTGGATTGGGGACACCAATCCAGGGGCGCCTGAGTGGCTCAGTCGGTTAAGTGTCTGCCTTCGGCTCAGGTCATGATCCCAGGGTCCTGGGGTCGAGCCCCCCGTCAGGCTCCCTCTTTCTCCACGCCACCTGCACTCTCTCACTGTCTCTGTCTCTCTCATAATTAAATCAAATCTTAAGGAAGGATGGAATGAAGGTCATCCAAATCAGCAAGGAAGAAGTCAAAACGTCCATTATTTTCAGACAATGGCCCACACCTTAAACTGCAAAGATTCCACCAAAAAACTGTTAGAACTGATAAACAAATTCAGTAAAGTCACAGGTTACAAAATCCATGTATAGATGTTTACCTATACACCAAACCTGAAGCAGCACAAAGAGAAATGCAAGAATCAATCCCATTCAATACTGCACCAAAAACAGGTACTGGGAAGAAGCCTGACCAAACAGGAGAAAGACGTGCACACTCTGCAAACTGTGAAACACTGATGAGAGAAACCGAAGACGACATGAGGAAACAGAAAGGCGTTCCATGTTCATGGACTGAAAGAACAGATGTTGTGAAAATGTCTGTAAGACCTAAAGCAGTCTGCACGTTGAATACCAAAATACCAACAGCATTTTTCACAGAGCTAGAACAAATGATCCCAAAATTTGAACGGAGTCACACAAGACCTCAAATAGGCAAAGCAATCTTGAAAAAGAAAAAAAAGCTGGAAGCTTCACAATTCCGGACTTCAAGCTGTATTACCAAGCTGCGGTCATAAAGACAGTGTGGTTCTGGCGCAAAAACAGACATGAGCATTGATGGACCCGGACAGAAGACCCAGAAATCCACCCATGACTATATGGCAATTTATCTGTGACAAAGGAGGAAGGAATACGCAGTAGAGAAAGAGTTTCCTCAACAAATGGTGTGGGGAACCTTGGCAGCCACATGCAGAAGAATGACACCAGGCTATGTTCTTACACCACACACAGAAATAAACTCAAGATGGATCAAAGACCTAAATGTGAGAGAGGAATCCATCAAAATCCTAGAGGAGAACGCAGGCAGCAACCTCTGTGACCCCAGCCACAGCAACTTCTTGCTACACACGTCTCCAAAGCAAGAGAAACAAAAGCACAAAAATGAAGTACTGGGACGTCACCAAGATAAAAAGCTTCTGCACAGCAAAGGAAAACATTTGACAAAACCAAAAGACAACCGACAGAATGGGAGAAGATATTTGAAAATGTCTTATCAGATAAAGGGTTGGTAACCAAAATCTATAAAGAACTTCTTGGACTCAACACCCAAAAAACAAATAATGCGGTCAAGAAAGCAGGCAGAGGACACGAACAGACACTTCTGCAAAGACACACAAATGGCCAACAGACACATGAAGAAATGCTCCACATCACTCAGGATCAGGGGAACACGAGTCGAAACCACAGTGAGACGCCACCTGCACTCCCAAGTATTTACCCCAACGATACAGATGCAGTGGAAAGAAGGGGCACCCAGTGTTGCAGCAGCAAAATCCACGGGCGCCCAGCTGCGGAAGGAGCCGAGGTGCTCCTCAAGAGATGGACGGACAGAGAGGACATGGTTTGCACACACGCGGGAGTGTTAAGCAGCCCTATAAAGAATGAAATCTTGTCATTTGCAACTACGTGAATGGAGCTAGAGGCTGTAATACTGATTTAAGTGAGTCAGAGAAGGATAAATACTGTTTAATGTCACTTATCTGTGGAATCTGAAAAACCAAACAACAAAAATAAAAGGAACTCATCAACACAGAGAACAAACTGGTGGTTCCCAGGTGGCGGGCGGTGGCAAAGGGGACTGTCTGTTATGACGGCAGCCTGTCTCAGCGATGGGCAGGGAATACCGTCGGTCACAGTGTGCCGATGCCGTGTGGCGCAGAGGGACTCCCCTCGTCCAGAGGCACGGTGAGTGACGTGTGGACTTGGGACCCTGGTGCTCACCCAACACTGTATGGTGACTGTACTTCAGTGTAAAAATAAAAATGAGGCGAACATTTATTGAGTGTCTGCGCAGTGCCACACACCTGCCTCCCTCATGGAACCAACGGCCCTGAGAGCAGCTACACAAGAGGAAACATTTTTCTGTACAAGTTACTCAACAACTCAATCTAACCCCCAGGTTTCCTAGAGAAATTCTCCCCTCCATTTGCGTTATTTTCCATGTACGTCAAACATGGAAATAAAACAATTTCAAGGAAATGGCAGGTTGGAGGCATGTAAGCCGCGACCTCCGGAGGGGTGGGCGGTACCTCGTGGCAGGTGTCCTTGTACAGCATCCGGGCTATGTCCGCCTGCTCGCTGTCTGCTGTAATTAAAGGCAGAGATGATCTATTACCAGTCATCTAGAAACACGAGACGATCCAAAGTCATACATTTACAGCTTCCTCCAGTGATAAAAGTGGCCACGTACTATTTTAAACAAAAATGTCTATTTTAAATAAAGTTCAGGCAGCAAAACAACGCTTTCTGTGCAGCTTTCATGTTGCTTTCAACAGAGTACTGAGCTCTAAGTCCAAAGCAGCCCGTTCCTCTCCTTCGGAATGATAGGACAGTAATCAAAGTGCTGATAAAAAAATCCCTCGACTAAGTTTGCGTCTGAAACTGTAAGCAGTACGGTTTTCATCATTTAGTGAGCTGGAGCTTTGGGGCGCTTTGATAAGCCAGAACCACATTACGAAATATTTTTGAGTTGAAACCCTGACGTTACTGCTTAGAAATCATTGAAGTATTAATGTTCTGAATTGCATTTTATCGAAGGCATCTGCTGACCCAGAATGTGAACGGTACGGGGGAAACATGCACAGAGAAGAAAAACCATTCAACCTCCGTAGAAAATCACGGTGTTGTGCAGAAGCAGCTGCGCGTCCGCCTTGAATTCTTCGTAGCTTCGGTACTTCCCCTCGTTCACCTTCTGCAGAGGGCAACAGGGTCTCGTGTTATACAGATGGGGTCAGAGCACGGGCGCACGGCGGGAACTTGCCAGGACGACGCTACGACCACTCCCGTGTCCCACAGCATGGAAGCGACACATGTGGGGACCCGGACAAGCCTGCCTGCAGCCAGGATCATGGGGTTCGGCGGCCACCCACCCCGCTCAGCGGCCAGCTGGGCTCTGCCCAACGCGTGTGCCCCTCATTCTGCGGGACGGAGACTCGCCGTGACGACGGAGAGCCCTGGCCAGGGGGCTGGTGAGACCTGAACAACACAGCCACCGTCTGTACAGCACACGTGCACAAAGACTGAAAAAAGACAACCACCGTCAGCCTCTGTGATGCTTTTTGTCATAGAGAAGAAGATACATTCGTAATTCTGAAGCGGGACCAGGAACCCAATTACAAGTAACTTTAAAATAAAGTCCTAGGTGTTCCTCTGTGTACCAAGGCAATGCAAGGGCTTCTACTGCATTAGATGCTGCATCTAAAGGTTTTCCATCACAGGGCTTTCTGTCACTTTGCTTTTAGCTGCCAGAGAAAAGGATTATGGAGGGAATTTGAGGATTTTTTACAGGGGAGGCAAAGTTTTTGGAAGAAAGGTATAGCAAAGTTATTTAGAGGTAGCAGGGAGGGCTTTTCTTATCTTGGTGCTACTTTTAGGAAATCAGCTTGAAAGTAATGTAGAATACAAAGGCCTCCAGAGTATCTAAGGTCCCACCATTCTGTTGAAATCCCCAGAGACCCACTGCGGTTGTCCGTCCTTTGAGAAGGCTTGCAGGAGTCCCCGTGCTGGAGGTGCCTGCTCCTGCCTGCCATCGACAGGTCACAGAGCGTATTCACAAATACCAACATCGGAGCCCCAGTCTGAATCTCTGACTGCCCTGGGCTCCAGACGCCCAGGCACTGGCGTGGTCTACAGCTCCCAGGTGTCTGATACACACCCAGCATTCTCAAAGCAACTCTGTGATTTCTGATGTTGGCACCATCGTGGCATTGACTTTGGTTTGAACTGTAAGCTACCGGAGATAGAAAATCTTGTCTTCCTCTTTCTCTTCCTTACAGAGCTGTCCACTCCTGGATGGCACCTGCGCCCCCTCACAGCGCCATCTGCCCCATCCCCCCAGCTCGTGTGCTCTACTATTAGATGGGATCCAACTAGGCGGAGCGTGGAAGGTGTCCTCAGGGAGAGGAAGAAGCCGAGCCAGGGTGGGGCTGTGCAGGGGGAGGGAGGGCAGCTGGGGTCTTCATCGTCCTCAGGGACGTTAGGGTTTAGGAAAAGAAGCTTTGCTTGAGGACATGAAACCTGGGGGCAGGAGATGAGGTGAAAACTCCCTGTTTTGTTCCAGGCTCTACTGGCCACCTTCTAGGAACAGCCTTCATCTCCTCTTCTACTGAACTACTACACCTTCAGTCCTTCCCAGCGGCCAAGGGGACCGAGAAACTTGTAAAATGACTCCAGATGATTCCTGCGGTCCCCTATAGGCTATTATGGCAACCACAAAGTCTTACATTCAAAGTGACATGCCAAGTACAGAATTAGTACTTCAGCAATCCTAACTGGAAAGATGTTAAAATGTTCTACTGGAATTTCCTGTGACTTGTAACTATGGATTAACAAAGCCATCAAAAACCTTGGCCAGAAGAGGTAAAATTAAGCACTCTTAAGAATAGTCGAGTTTTGGGGCTCCTGGGTGGCTTAGCCGTTAAGTGTCTGCTTTTGGCTCGGGTCATGGTCCCAGGGTCCTGGGACCGAGCCCCGCATCAGGCTCCCTGCTCAGCGGGAAGCCTGCATCTCCCTCTCCCACTCGCCCTGCGTGTGTTCCCTCTCTCGCTGTGTCTCTGTCAAGTAAATAAAATCTTTAAAAACAAAGCAAAACAAAACAAAACCAGAGAGTTAAGTTCTCTGATTCTCATCTTCGTGTTGCTCAAGTTCAGTCTGTTGCTTCCTAGGACTCCAGTCCCAGGCACTACTGTTTCCTTGAGAGACGCCCGCGCAGCATTGCTCAAGTGAGGAGAGCCCACCCAGACAGGGAGCCCTGAATCGGAGCATCACCTGAGCCGACCACACCGGCTGCTCTGACTGAGCCTCCAGGAGCTATGGTGGCTTCCCACCGGGGCCTCCCACCGGGGCCTCCCACCGAGAACGCCCGGTCCGTGCACAGAGCAGCACTGGGCCCTTTACGTTTAGGAAGAGGGTGGGCGGGCAGCCCTCAGGGAGGAAGGGCACCGGAATCCTGTGTGGCTGGGAGCTGTGGAGTCACCTGGGAGCTCTGGGGGTATGGGGAACAGGACCGAGGGCGGGCTTTACCTCCTGGATGGTGGGGACGTCCACCGCCGAGTGCACCAGCCTCCGGTACATCGGGTGCTTGTTGTCCTTGCCCTTCTTATTAAGGTCTATGGCCTGAAAGGTCAGCAGACACACGTTTCAAACACAGCGCAAGAGAGACAAGTGAGACAATTCCTAAACGACAGAATTTACCAGAAAACGTATTTGTACTGTATCATTTAAGGCGACATTTTTAGGGTTTTGATAGAAAGCACAATTATTTTGGAAAATTCCACTTCATTTTGGACGTATCTGTTAAATGTTCATTTTGATAAATGTATTAAAAATGTAAAAATATTAATGTTTCTACAACAAAGGAAGTAGGAATATATAACAGGAAAAGACCATCCCTTCCATAAAGCGTGCTGCGAAAATTGGGCACTTTTTTTTTTTTTTTAAAGATTTTATCTATCTATTTGATAGGGAGAGAGAGTGCACAATCAGGGGAGGAGAGGCAGAGGGGGAAGCAGGCTTCACAATGAGCAGGGAGCCCGATGCAGGGTTCCATCCGAGCCCCTGGGATCAGGACCTGAGCCAAAGGCAGACACTTAATGACTGAGCCACCTAGGAGCCCCGAAATTGGACACTTTCTTACACCTATATAAACATTAACTCAAAATGGAGTAAAGACCCAAATGTGAGACCTGAAACTACATAAATCCCGGAAGAAAACACAGGCAGTAAACTTCTGCACATCAACCTAGCAGTATTCTTCAGAGATATCCCCTGAGGCAAGGGAAACAAAAGCGAAAATGAACTACTGGGACTTCATCAAGATAAAAAGCTTCTGCACAGCACAGGAAACAGTCAACAAAACTAAAAGGAAACGCATGGAATGTAACAAGGTATTTGCAAACGGCCTATCGATAAAGAGTCAGTACCCAAATTCCATCAAGAACTTTTCAAACTGAACACCCACAGAACAAATAATCCAACCAAGAAATGGGCAGAGGACATGAACAGACACTTCTGCAAAGAAGACATCCAGATGGCCAACAGACCCATGAGAAAGTGCTCCACATCACTCAGCATCAGGGAAATACAGATCAAAACCACAGTGAGATCCCACCTCACGCCAGTCAGAATGGCCAAAATTAACACGTCAGGAAACGACAGATGCTGGCGAGGATGTGGGGCAAGGGGAACCTCCTGCACTGTTGGTGGGAACGCAAGCTGGTGCAGCCGCGCTGGAAAACAGCATGGGGGTTCCTCATGATATTAACAATAGAGCTACCCTACGACTCTACAACTGCACTACTGGGTATTTACCCCAAAGATACAGATGCAGTGAGAAGAAGGGCCATCTGTGCCCCAATGTGCACAGCAGCAATGGCCACGACAGCTAACTGCAGAAAGAGCCCAGACGTCCTTCACCAGACGGACGGATAAAGAAGAAGAGGTTTATGCACACAAAGGAATGCCACTCAGCCAACAGGAAGAATGAAATCTTTCCGTTTGCAATGACATGGGCAGAAGTACAGGGCGTTACGCTAAGCGGAATAAGCCAGTCAGAGAAAGACACACCATATGATTCCACTTGTACGCGGGATCTAAAAACAACCAACCAACCAACCAGACTCTTAACTACAATGAACAAAGTGGTGGTTCGTAGACAGGGAGCGTCGGGGATGGACAGGAATAGGTGCAAACTTCCACTCATAAAATATGTAAGTCATGGGGCGCCTGGGTGGGGGGTCAGTGGTTAAGCATCTGCCTTCGGCTCAGGTCATGATCCCAGGGTCCTGGGATCAAGCCCCATGTCGGGTTCCCTGCTGGGCAGGAAGCCCGCTTCTCCCTCCCCTCCACCTCTGCTTGTGTTCCCTCTCTGTGTCAATTAAATAAATTAAATCAATAAATAAAATCTTAAACAAATAAATAGGTAAGTCACGAGGACGAACAGCAGCACGGGAACACAGCTAACAGTGCCGTCCTCGCGCTGTGTGCCTGTTCTTATTGGTGAGCATGGAGTTGTGCATACAAAGGTCGAATCATGGTGTTGTACACCTGCCAATAATATGATATTGCATGCCAACTACGCTTCAATTAAAGATTTTGAAAAATAAAAGATGAAACAACAGAAATGTATCAGCGGAGACAAACAGTGTCAGTCTCATCTACTTCAGCTCCAGAGACACCAGACGAAGCAGAACAAGCCGTTACGGACAAAGGAACTCGGGCCGCAGCGTTCTGCACCCGATGCCACTGTAAAGGTCCCTGGTGCGCTCTCTGGTCAGGAAGGGATGGGACGCGTGCTCTGGGAGGTCCCGACCGCCCGGAGGACTTACCCGCTCCTTCATGCGGGAGACAATGAACCGCAAGTACGTGCTCATCTCCTGTTTGTTTGTGTTTTTCTTCTTGATGCTCTGTTAAAAACAGAAAAGGCCAGATATAAAATGTGATTATTTACAGGTCTGTATTCATGTAAAAGACTTTTATATATAAAAGATACAGTCTGCAAAGATTGTATTCAAATCTGCACTATTTCCAATGTGTTTGACACCAAGAAATCCTAAAACGTGCATAGCATTTAATGTGACAGTAAAACGGAAACAGGTTGTATTTGACGTAAGACCTCACAGAATTACACAGTTTTTCTTGATATTTAGAACTTCAACCATTTTCAGATACAACAAATGATAACGTAATAATGACATGATGTAGAATCACTTATTTTATCAAAAAAAAAAAAAAGAGAGAGAGAGAGAGAGAGAAGAAAAGTTGGCCAAAACTCTTTCGGGAACATTTTAAATTAGTAATACTGAAGGGTGAATTTCGACATACACGGCTCCTCTAAAAGGTTATTAAAGTCCACGTCACCTGTGAATTCCGCACAGCACAGCTGCACACTGCTCATCTGTTTTCAAGGGCTACGGGGTCTGTTCAGTAGCAACCCCAATTTCTATCAGCCTGACCTGAAGAGCTAATTAGGTTCTTCAATTTATGTCTCAGAAGATCTAAATTCATGCAAAGAGAAAAAGATAGGACTCTCCCTTTCATGTCATTTCTAGACGGCACGCAAACAAAGATGAATGTCCCACTTCCTCCGTTGAGGCTGAGGCCTCCCAGCAGCCCCCGCTCTATGGAAGCCGTCCCGCGTGGCTGACTCGGTGCGGACAGCACATCCCGGCTGCCGTCACCCGCGGACCCCCAGAGGACGGGTCCCTGCCTACTTGAGCCACCGCTCCCAAAGGGCTGTCCGTGCCGGACGTCACCCCAACACAGTGGCGGACTGGAGGCAGGAGCCAACATTCCCCAGGTAACTGAGTCTTCGCTGGGGCGTGTCACCCACACACACACAACACTAAACCACCTGAACGGAAAATGGACAACTGCTTTCTTTCCTGGACGTGTGTTTCATGCACTTCCCGTTTCAAGTGGTGCCTTCCCGGGGCGCCTGGCTGGCTCAGTCGGAAGAACACGCAACACGTGACCTTGGGATCATGCGTTCGTGCCCCACGATGCATGCAGAAATGACTTAAATAAAACTCATAAAAACCATAAACAATAACCCTGACCCCTTCTTCCCACTCCTCACCTGGACTCTGGTACGATTACTGCTTCTGCCGTGCTGGGCTGCCATGTGACCCGTGCACACGGCGTCTAATCAATGCCTGGCACAGAGCAGTTGTGCAAGTCTGTCCACACCCAGGACACCGGTGAACTTCCGGGAAACACGGCTGGGCTTCTGCCCAGCAAGCACAGCCCAGTGACCAGCGAGCACACGCGTGGTCACACCAGGATCAGCCATCTCTGAGGGAAGGTCCCTGGGCTCTCTGCTCGCTCACACACCTGCTTGATCCTCGGGGGGCTGGGACACGTGACCGAGACGGAGCACCCTGGTCAGGTCTGGAGCGGACCACACGAGGACACTTCCTGGACTCCAGGTTTAGAGTCTTGGGGGCAGGGGCGGGGGCAGGGGCAACTCTGCGGTACCTTGTAGACTCTCATTTTTCACAAGACCCCCAGCAACACTCGGGAACTACCAGCAGCTGCCCCCAAAGCCAGCACCACAGAGAAGACATCGGTGTGCAGCTATGTGCACACAGGGGAGTGTGCAGGGCTCTCTGGGCAGGGGAAACATAGTCAGATATTCCTGATGTTGGACAAACATTCTTGCAACATGGACGTTCTCCCACGCACCACTCTCTACAGAAACGAGCACCTGATGGACTGTCAGAACCGGAGAATAGAAGGGGTAATAGGCCAACGACCACTTCTCTGCTCACCTGTGGGAAACCCACACTCTTACCACAGAGGAGAATGAAAACAAAGCTTCCAGCTACATGCTCTATCATGTTAACTCCCAAATATTTTGGATGTGCTACTAAAACTGCTGACCGTAGGTATCCGTCTGATCATTAAATCACGAATCTGTGTAGATGCAAATAAAACACCAACCTGTTAACAGGTCACGTGTCCTGTAATTCCACCCCTGGGGTTAAGGGTGTTTTAACAGGTGTCGTACAATTTACAGGAAGTTCACAAGCAACACGTCACGTAGCAAAGCGTGATTTCCAGGCCCCACACGTACTATTCCCAACCTTCCCTCGAGGAGGCAGAGCAGGAAGACTCTCCTCTCTCAGCCTTCTAAGTACCTCCAGCCCAACCCAGGGAGCCCTCGAGAGAGCGGTGGAAAGACTTGGGGAACAGCTGCCCTCGCCCAGCGACTGGGGATCCCACATTTGTGCAGGAAGATGGTTTACCCTCTGTGCTCAACAGCAGCCCATGCAGTACTTCACTCTTCATGTGAATCTAACCCCTCTTCTTTGTTCGTTAAGAGACAGAGAAAATAAATCTATTCAAACACCTCTGTCAGGGGCGCCAGGGGGTCTCCATCGGTGAAGCGTCTGCCTTCGCCTCAGGTCATGATCTTGGGGGCCCGGGATCGAGCCCTGCATCAGACTCTGCTCAGCGGGAAGCCTGCTTCCCTTCCTCTGCTCCCCCCCACTGCTTGTGCTCTCTCCAATATGCAAAATCTTAAGGAAAAAAAAAAAAAAGCCCAACACCCTTCCCCAATCTCTTGAGGACAAACATGGGTTCTCCTGCAGATGTCCAGACGACGGGGTTCTGTGCCTGGACCTCGGCTCCCTGGGCACTCCCAGGGGGTGGCAAGTGCCTGCTTCCCGGACCCGCTTCCCAGCCGTGGGCCTCGATGCGGGAGCTCACGCCAACAAGAGACCCTGCATGCACGCGGCCTCTCCTCCCCCACCCCCCCCCGTTTCTGAAGACCCAGCATTCGCCGTAAGATGCCTGCACACGTGCTAAGCTGATGGGCTTGCGCTCCGCCCCTCCCTGCTGTAACTCAGAGCTTTACGGTTTCACCGAAGAAAGGAAGGACAAACCGAAGAAAGAAGGACGCGCTGCAGCCTCCCATCAGGGCGGCACCGTGAGGCGCGAGATCTCCGAGCCACAGCCACAGCGCTTCAACTGTGCCAGTTCAGCCAAACCAAGACACTGACAGTGGCTTGAGAAAAAGCCACTTGAACAGCAATTAAAGGAGATTAAAGGAGCAGCTTCTCAGGCAAATGCGACTCCGTCTGTGACATGACTAAGCAGGTTGCTCTTTAAAGCAAGGTCAGAAAAATAAAACTGAAGCTTTAGACATCTGCAGGCTATTCCAGACCCAATTCTTCCTCAGGCTTTGCGGATCTGTACGCATTCTCTCCTTGCAGGCCGCAGGCGCGCTCAGGAAAGGCCTCTCCGCAGCCAGCGAGTTCCAGTAACTTCACATCGGCACAGAGGGACGACTCTGCTCAGTGTCTACAAATAATGGGGAGAACCTTGGCATCACGGGGCCAAAGTTGCCGTAACGGTTTTCAGAGGACACTGGTCACGTGGCTGCAGGTGTGTTACAAACGTGTGAGACTGGAGCGAGAAGCTCTCAAACACATGGCAGCTGGCCGAGAGGCTGCTTTCCTCATGGGGAAAATAATGGACAATCTTAAACATCTTCTTGAGTCAGGGATGAGTCAGGGACTCGCCACCATCACCAGAAGTGCCAGTCCGAGCAAACTGGAAGAGGCTGGGTGCGTGCCACAGAGAAAACACGAGTCCGGCAATTCAGCCACACTCAGGACCTTATGGTGGTTTCGGCTCAAAGAAGGGATGAGTAACCTCTGATCCCCAGCTCACTACTGACAAGATGCCCACGCACCATGACAGGAACGAACACTCACGACTGAATGGTCTGGAATTTTTAATGTTCTTTAGAGACCCAGATTTTCAGCTGCAGAAATGTATCTTAGCAAAAAACGAACTTGTGGAAACAGTACCTCAGCACAACTAGACCCAAATGAAACCAGTGTGCAATCAGAGGTCCAGGGGTCTTCTCCTTGGACCCCAGATCTGTGCTGCTAGACTTTAGGAAATCCAAGCCCCCCAGCCTGCGATTACACAAGACAAGGACGTCACACTCTCCTGGGGGTCCCCAATACCCAGACTACTTTTCCTGCCATAGGGTCAGATGAGCAGTTCACAAACGTCCTCCGTGAAGGGCCAGACAGTCTATAGCTTAGGCTCGGAGGACAAACGGTAGGAGTCTGTCTGCACCACTCAACTCTGCTTCGCACTGAAAAAGCAGTAACGCTCTGGGATACTGAAGTCTGAATTTCTTAGGATTTTCACACATCACAAAATACTTCCCCTCTCTTTGATTTTCCTTTGACCATTTAAAAATGTAAAACCCACTCTAACCTCATGAACAGGACACAAGCTGGCGGTAGTCTGCCAACCCCCGGACAGACTGTGTTCTGTGGAAACAGGGTTCCCAAGGGTCCAGCTCAGCGGGTGTCTGCCAAGGCCTTGTACAGTATGTGCACACAGTAAGTGCTCAATGAATACTAGCAGAGGAACCGCTGGTAGTCGTTAGGACTGTGTCGCCTACTGGACAGAACATCCCACACGGCTGAGCTCAAGCACAGGAAATCCCTCCCCGCCAGACGCGTGACTCGGAGCTGGTTTCGGGCTTGGGCCGCTCGAAGCCGTTGTGTTCAGTGCGGGTGTATCAGCCGCTTCGCGGCCCTCCAACACCTGACACCGCCTCGCCCTCCAACTGCAGAGGCCCCCGTCGGCGTCTGTGAGCTCACCGGGCCACCGGCTGGGCATTCCCGCGCCCCACGGCTGTGCGCTCCACAGCACCCCGGCCGCTGTGGCGCCAGGGACCTCACGTGTCCCTGCGGGAGGAACACATCTGCGCCGAAGTCCCCGCAGCACGGGTGGAACCGGCGGCCTCGACGGCTCCCTGCGGCCACAGCACAGAAGGTCCCGGGGCATGTCCTCTGCACCGACACTGCCGCTGTCGCCCCGCGAGGCCCGGCGTCTACAGCACCCTCCGCAGCCCCGGGGCACGACGCGGTCCCGAGAG